CTTTACGAAAGAATACATGATTACTTAAGTTACAACTGCTGCCTGAAGCTAACCAGAATGTTCAAACAAAGCTCATATCTTTATTTTGTATTTTTAGCCAGGTGTAACGCAGAATGTTATTAATAATGAGTTTAAGCAAATAATGTTTTCTACAAGTAGTTAGTGTTGTATGCGTGAAGTTTACGTGAACTATTTACATTATTTTCCACTACAGAGGATTTTTCTCACTCAAAATACACTTCTTGCTAAAGAAAAACATTATCACCAAATAAGATAATTTAATAAACGAGAAATGATTTCATTACTGTTCAAGTAAATTGGCCCATATAATATAAAATTAATATGCCTAGTTATTTATTGGCTCATCATATAATATAAAATTAATATGTCTAGTTATTTATTGGCTCATCTTATAATATAAACTTAATATGTCGTAGTTATTTATTGGTCCATATGATATAAAATTAATATGTCTAGTTATTTATTGGCCCATATACTATGTTCAAAACGTAATATTCTTTTTTTTTTCATGGTATGGTTGTAATTTTCCTTCAGAAATTAAAGTAATTTAAAACCAATATTGAAGCATTCTTTATCAGTTGTACAGTTTTAACTTTTTATAATAACATACTTTGTTCAATATATGCATACAATAAGCATAGTCTGCACGTGTCAGGTTGAGAAACTGTGAAGAAGAACAGTGATTTCCGGTTACTTGTATTTTGCAATGCTTTCATCTTCAAGACAAATACCATATGTTGAGGTTTCTTCCATCCTCAAGATAGATACCAGGTGCTGAGTGAGGGTATTGGTAAAACAACTTATGGGTGATGCATCATGACCGTCAAACATCATCGCTTGAAAGATAAATAGTTGTTGAAAAAGTTGTTTTTGTATTCCCCTTTTTTTACGCTATCAATAAGTATAATTTGTTTTATGAGATATTATTTTATATATGGTACATAGAGTCTATGCTAGCAAAGCATGAAACATATAGTTTGCGGATATTACAAGACTTTACAGTATGACTTCAGAAATAGAATCCACTAAAGAGGAAGAGAGGATTTAACATAATAATAATAATGCCTAGAGAATTTCTTAACAACAACATTTTGGACTAGTAATACAGCATTCTTGAACAAAAGCTATGTCACTGATAAAATAAAGTGTGATCTCATAGAGAAAGTCCTTAACCATGAAAACTTGAGCATTTATAACGTCTACCTTATAGAAAGTTTTATGTCTAGTATCTTTGATGAACGAGAGGATTTAAATAAAACAATGGAATATCTAATACAGTGCTACATGGTTTATTTATTGGAGGGTAATATTCGCGTGATAATATTTTTAAAGCGATGATATAAAGAAGTCATATATATATAATTGAGAATAATTCGACACTAAACAATCCCTGAAGCCTAAGTTCATATTTATATAATCAAAGAAAGTGCTTGAGTTGTAACAACTTTAATCAAAAAGCAAAATTCTAATTAAAAATATCAGTCAAACCAAGTCCAGCGTATTCGATATCTGCGTACTAAAATCTTATTTTTATTTTGTGAATTTTATTAATCTACATGAAGTTAATAATAAGGCTCATATTTGCTAAAAATGATTTTGTTTTAAATGAAGAACGTTTAAATCAAGCCCTTCATCAGAAACGCCCTTAACTCTTCAATCGGAAAGGTGTTTTTCTCCACGACAATGCGCGTCCACATGTAGCATCATTGATGCAACACAAGATTATTAATTTCTCCCCCACTCACCATATTTTCTAGATATGGCACCATCAGATTACCGTCTTTTTCGTTCATTGCAACACCATTTTAATGGGAATACGTATGCAAATCTGGAAGGTGTTAAAGAGGACATCGACATGTTTTTTTGCTTCAAAGCCAAGTGATTTCTTTAACCAGGACATTAACAACCTGATTGTAAGATGGAAAAGCATAATCGATAAGAATAGATACTATTTCATTTAATAAATATTTTGTTTTGATATATAAGTTGTTCGATTTTGTTTCATCTAAAAAAAGCGACATTAATTTCTTGACTACCTAATATATACTTGACTAGTTAAGTTCGTATGTTTCTTCTGCATGAATACATGAAATGTTACTCAACAACTTTTTATCGGCTTACGTGATACTGTTATTCTGTTAATATTATTAAGTTTGTTCGACATAATTCCGATTAAAAGGTATCCATTTTAAGTAACTTCGTCACCACCATAGATACTGCTAATAGGTTTACACTCATTAAACACCACTGAAAAGATGATATAATCTGAGTGTGCATATTATGACGAAATTACTGTTTTATCATAGCGTCTAACAGAAAAATCTCCGACTTAAGGGTTACAAATTTGGTACAGAAGACATTCCTATGGGATAACTATTTTAATTGGGAACTACTGTCTTAAAAAAGCATAATTATATTTAACACAATTTCAAACGTCATTGTAATATAATTTTATGGTTTTAACAAAACTCTTATCAAAACCAAACATTTCTAACAATTCCTAAAACTATTTATGTTCAACCTGATAAAAAATCTGTTTGATTAATTTTTCGAATCATACCACCAAGTTAAATCTTAACAAAATCTAACAAAAGTTTTAATGTAATTGAGTTTTATCGATATCACACTTTCTTATATAGATAGTTTTGTTGAAAATTATCAACGAAAGTAAAAGAACAGCCAATCTACTTGCCAATAATTTAGCAATAATAGTCGTGGCTTTAATGGGTTAATAGGATCCAGTTATCAAGAAGACTTGGTTTATATCGTTTTTGTGCATATGTAATAACACAACGTTTCCAGGATGGGGAAATATTTGTTGACTGAAAAATGTCACTTGAAATGCAATGTAATCATCAAACGTTAAATGAAGCAAACATCAGTTCCTATTTTACTCGTATCTTAATACAAATTTACTTAATTTTACAACCTGTAAGCTTAGCATCATAAAAGTACCCTTTATCAGCACTTAAATTAAAAAGAAAGGAAATCACAAAAATAAGCATATAGCGCCTCAAGTATGACAAAACCGTTGTTGTTACGCTGATCATCGTTTAATTCGAGTTCTCTAATAAACAAGTTATGTTTCTCTAACATTTCCACTCGTAATAAGATATGTCGTTGAACGCTATTTTTTCTCAAAACATCAGTGTACCCTGTACAACCTCTGTAACATCTAATTTATGTTCCAGGTCATGTAACATTTGAACAATAAAAGGTTTGAAAGAACAATCGGAAAAACCGTTTTCTGCAAACATTTCATATTAAAAATAATATCTTGAAAATATGATGAACACTGTTTGATCTTATTTGTATTCCTTAAACCATTAATATATAAAGTGCCTAATTTTAGATTTGATACAAAAGATCAAACTTGGAAAATGAATTACAGTCTTTTACATTAAATTTAGCTTCAGGATGTAGTCTTCTTTTAATTCTTGCCGTCCATTTTCCACCATTATTCCATGATCTGTATAGTGGTGCCAGTTTATTGTTTTGCTCATCGTCCACCTCTTGAGTGTTGACGTTGCATATATGTATGATGAGTATTGGCCTTGAGGTCCAAAAACACAGGAACAATAGTTTCTTATTCTGTTGGCTGTTACGTGTTTCCCATACAATATCCCGGAAAGTAGAAATTTCAGTAAATTTCTTTTAATTTTGTCTTCACCTTTATTTTATCTGATGATTACATGACAATGTTGTATATCAATAAATATTTTTAGTGTAAAAATTCATTCAATGTGCCTGAATACCAAACCTTAACAGCCACTGTCACACTCTAGATATGCAAACAAATTGCAGTACCTTCAGTCGGCCCAAGGGAAGAATGTGAACCTGCTCAAATTACAATGTCTTTGATGGGCTCAATGGTTGTTTGGAGTTTTTTGGCGCAAAGCAACACAGCTATCTGCACCAAACGACCAGTATGAAAAGAAAAACAAAAAGTAAAAGTCTATAAAAATGGTAAAAAGAAACAAGTTAAAAGCTAAACATTTTCCAAAAATCATATAAAAATACTCAAATAGAATAAAAAAGGCCAAAGCCCTTAAAAAGTTAAAAATACAATCAAGTTAGACAGTATCACCATCGCCAATGATACCATCCAACATCAGGGATAAATCTGTAAAAAGTACATGTTTAAACCGGTGTTGCTGCTCATAGTAGTAACTACGGCATGACAGTAAAACGTGAGCTATTGTGACTTGAGTGTACTCTAAATCGACTACCAATTGGCGCAAAGCCGAGCCTTGAACACAATACCATAGTCCATATATGGGACAGGCATGGCTGTGACAGTGCCAGAGCAGATAGACTTAGCTGTGGTATCAGCAAGAGTCATAGAGCTCACAGAGTCACCGGATTTCAAACCATCTATACAAACAGGAACAGAAGAATGATTCAAAAGATGTTTGGCAAAGATAAGACAGTACTTCCAATCGGGAGAATCTGCCTTCCTCAGATGGCTCAAAGAAAGGTAACAGGTGGGAATGGTAATGAGCTATGGTATGGGCTGATCATTGAACTCAATAACATCATCTAATGACAGACCCAATTCAGCGACCTGTTCCTGGATACAAAGGCCAAAAGGAGGAAGAGCAGATCATCTATTCTGAAAGAACCTAGCTCCCTGAGGATGAAAAATATAATCCCAGGTGGGATTTTGTGGTAAGGATCAAAATTTCATAGCATATTGCAAAGAAAGTTGCAAACATTGGAGGTGAAGAGGATCTTTATGAGACTTGGTGTACAGACTCTGGACTGGTGAAGTGCAGAAAGTCTCTGTGCAGAGCCGAAGCCCGAGATGGTGAATGGAGTCTAACATCTTCAAGACAGAGGCCCTGGTATAACTATCGAATGATATATCTTCAGCATAGAACATCAATCCACTCCTCAAGTGGTGGAAGAGATGACACAGAGGATGTTCAGTGACTTTGTAGTGTCAAACTGAAAAGCAAACTTAAGTTTCACCAGTGTAAATGGGCGATTATAGTCATAGAGATGATCAGACTGAAAGGAAAGAAGGGAATGCTCTGCCCAAGATTGATGACCAAGAAGTCAGGGGAAGAAACAGAAGTGCTGGAAAGATGAGAAAAGTACTTCCTGAGAGTGCCAACTTTCTGGCCACTGGAGAGCTAGATAGAAAAGGGATGGAAAGCATATTTCCCATTGACCTTCCAAATCTTGTCCCAGATAACTTTGGAACTGATTGTAGAAGAGATGCTGATTATGAACTTAATCCAAGATTCCTTCTGGCTTTGTTGTCTGACCTGCTGAGATTGACCATGGGCCTGCTGGAAAGCAATGCAGTTGGAAAGAGTGAGATACCTGCCAAAGTTAAACCAGACCCGTTTTTAAGCCTTCAGTGCCTCTTAGCAGACAGGAGACCACCATGGACGATGATAGAACGAACAACTGCTTGAATGAGACAATCAGTTACTGCCTCCACACAGTCATTAATAGACAGAAGACTTACGACAGCAGTATCTAGTTCTGAGAGAATGGTGAAGGAGAACCAGTCAGGCTGATCCAATTTACACCATGGCACTCGCTTTGGGTAACATCGACCACGCCAACCATCCTCAAAATGATGGGAAATCACTGCACTATTTTTCCTGTCAACCTTCCAAGAAAAATGATAAAAAAGTGAAGGTGAACAGATAGAGAGATCAATACCAGTAAAGGACTGACTAGGTGCATGAATGAGTATTGGAGAGAGACAAGTTGTGATCTGAAGCATACACTTCACAGAATGGCTCCTACCATCAATATCAGCACCACTACAAAGGGGATTGTTTCCATTAAAGTTTCTGAAAATGAAAAAGGGAGATGGTACCTGTTTTATTAGAGCATCTAAATATTATTCATCATAAGTCTCTCCCAGAGATATGTAGAGAGAACAAAGAGTGATGGTACGACCCATGGAGATATAGATAGCTACAGCCTCTAAGGTTCTATTGTGTGGCTCAGAGAGGGTGGGTACATGCTGATCCATAGACTTGTCTATCATACAACCTATCATTGTTTTATCAAGAAAACTGTCCAAAGTCGATAGTAACAGGAAGTCTCAGTAATGTTTCCTGTAAGGAGAGACACATAGGATGATAGGAAAGGATCAAGGATCAATAAGAATGGAAACCTCGACAGTTCTACTTTATCAAAGTGGACATTTATCTTTAGGTGGAGGTGAACTGGGCAGAGAACCCTTCTGTTTGTGACCTTTAGTAGATAAAGGTCTGTCAACCTCCATGGAACCTGCCCTGGGTCGATTGGGCAGATCTCTGTCAGAGAAGGAGATTCCAGGACTGAGGGCAAAAATTAATAATGGTGATACACCTTGGTGCCAAAGGAGATGAACCCGAGCAGTCAGTGGAAGCAATGAAAGCAAGACAGAAGTATATGTAGACTTGTCAACTCTAGCATCCACAGAGGGCAAAACATTATTTACATGATGAGAGAAGGACTCTGATGGAAGCACAGAGAGATCTGTCTGCAATTCCGCTATAGCAGTGGAACAGAGACAGCAGAATATGTTCCAGATGGAATAGGGGACAACAATTTCAGAGCCTTTTGATTAGAAATGCTTTTAACAGTTCTTAAATGCTGTACCTCCTTTTCCTGTACCTACTTTTGGCAATACCGAAAGTAAAAGGGATGGGAACCACCACAATTAAGGCAGTGAAGGTCCAGGTGACACTCGTAAACATTATGGTCTTTGCCTTCACAATGAGACATGTCAAAGAATGCCTTAGAATGTCTGATCTGCTGAAACTGGAAACACCTGAGAGGGTTAGGAATATAAGGCCCTAACTTACAGTTTAGATAACATGCATTGATAGTAGCAGGCAGAAGTGGTGATGTAAGCATTAATACAATAACGTTGGTAGGCAGAATAATTCATTTTTTATGATTGGAGATATGTCACACTGCAGAAACTCCTTGGCTGGTGAAATCAGCAAGTATCTCCAACTCAGGGATGTTTCTCAAATCCCTCTCAATGATAACTCCTCAGGAGGAATTCAAAGTAGCATGGGGAGTAACCCCAATGGGTATATTCCCAATGACCTTTGACCACAGGAGGAGTTTGATGTGTATCAATGTAGATATTTTCACCAACATTTCTCAGAACGTAGCTTCTTAACTGACCTGGAGAACCAGCATTCATAAAGAATGTAGGATGAAAAAAATCAGGTACAGGTGCAGAATGGGATGAAGACTGTTGTTCAGAGTCTTCCAATTGTGGTTGCTATCCAATCAATGAGAGTTTTTGGGGTCAGTGGGTGTAGGATCCATGAAAAGGGAAACATTTCAGTGTCCATTGACCCCACCTACCATGGAATCCTGCAAGGGAATGCAATAAAATGTAAAAGCCGAGCATTGTAGAGACGCCAGAGTTTCATGGACACTACCTAAACATCAGTATGAGAAACAATGTCCACAATACTATTGAGAATGTCCAAAACTGGTACTTGGTTGACCCTGGGTGAACCACCCCAACAGGAATTAAAGGTTAAATTGGTGTTTTAAAGTACCACTGTCATAAACTGGCCTATCAATGACGCCCCTGAACCACTAGGACCCTCCCACCTCTTTAACAGGTTGACATGCATGACAAACACATGAGTGGATGTTTAGATCCCAGAGGAGGTAAACTGAAAATACAGAACCTTCCCTGGGAGATCCGTTCACCATGTACAAAAATCCAATTTGAGGGGGTAGGGATAATGCAACAATTAAACAAAAATGTATCACAGTCAACAATATAGATTACTTGTGTCTCAGAGTATATATAGATTTCACTAAGAAAAGATCACTCTTAACAAAATTATAATATACATTACATTTTAATTTCCACGAGTTCTATAATGGCATATAAACAATCACAACATACCTTCGAGCTTTCCTTGCCAGTTAGATGAACTTTACACTGGTGAATAATAGTTTTGACTGTCCTTATTTAGCACGTTTGGTGATATGTGAGTGACTTAAAATAATGATGACTCCCCCCTTGTTTGTATAATAAAATCATTTATGATAATATCAGTAGAAAATGAATCAAAATATCTTATCTGAGATATGCAATAAAATCAAATTGCTTTCCAATAATTGCCTGTGATAACCATCTTATTTCTCATGGGAAACGTCTTCCGACCTCAGGGACTTGCATGATTTGGTGTTGATTTATCACTAAATTAGAAACCAAATAATAATATGTTAGCTTATTTAACATGCAAAATATAATACAATTTATAGGATTTGACAACAAAAACATCCTCATTTCTTCAAAAATCATGTGCTGACTTCAAGGACTTGCATATTAATTATAAAAATAATTTGAGATTAGATTTGATTATTACCTGCATATTAATCCTCTAATTAATAAGATTATTAATTAAATATTAAAATGTGAATATTAATTAGTTTAAGTTTACATATGCTTTACATATCAACTATCTAATTAACTAACTAACCTTTAATTAACTAAGCATTAACTGTATATCAGTTATTAATTTGCAAATCACTTACATATTAATCATCTAATTAATTAATTATCCTTTAATTAATAAAACGTTAATTATTTATTACTTATTAATTTGCATATTTATATATGCATATTAATTTTATATGATGTCATTACCTCCACCACTTTCCTCTACATAGTGATTTAAAACTACTCATATTACACAAGAACATCAATAATCTTGCAAGTAGAGATTAAATACTATCTGAGTAGATACTGCATTTATTTTTCAAAATTGGCAAATACTAACTATAAAGTTCAAAATGTTCAACCTTTAATTCTATCTACTGCTGGAATTAAATATGGAATGAAACATACTTCTTTGAATATGTGTGCCAGTATAACATTTTATGCTTATTAGAAGTTTGATTTTCGAAATAGGGTTATTCATATGTTATTTAAGTTGTTAATGTAATGAATGTGTTACTTTCAGGTTTATATAAGAGGGACTTGTTTCTCCAGTGTAGCTTTGGAAGCAAAACATTTCATTATAATTCTTATAATAGGTTTCTCTTGTAATAAAAAATCATTAAACTAGATTTAAACACAAATGATTTTGTTGCACTGTTGCATTTCGAAAGATTGAATATCTAATCTATAAAAAAAAAGAGGTAAGGGGTTTGACTGGTTTCTTTGTAAGACATATGGATAATCCATATTTCTTAATACCTTTTTAACTCCCTTGGATAACTTCTGACAAAAAAAATCTAGGTGCAGCTGATGTTTGCATTCCATTATTAATCATATTGGAGTAGGATCATGTTTAAAGAATATGCTGTTGTAGTATTAGTCAGAGTAGTCGTTGGTGTGAAGAACATTATGTGATTTGAACCTGGAAAAGTGTTAGGGATTTCAGAGATGGAAAGTTTAGCTATTCTATGGAGTAGCCATTGATTACATATACTGAATTTAACAAAAAGTGGATTTTGTGAGAGGAAGTGAAGATAAATAAAGTTATTTCTCTTTTTTGTTGAAAATACCTGTGGTTAAATTATCAAGCTGCTGATTGTTATCAGAATATTCGGGGGTAAATTTGCTAAAATATTAAGTGAATTTAGAAAATAAAAAAAACATGGTAAGAACCGTAAATAATTGTTCCAAAATCAAAAAATGTTTTTAACAAATTAGTAACAAGAAGGTGGGTAAAGTTGAGCTATGGTACACCATTGTTTCAATGCTTGTTGTGCAAGGGTGTGAAGAAAAGTGTCAGTAACAAACACTAGTAGTCCTGTATTTCTTATCATCATCTATTTTTTGTTAGTTGAGATAACCTTTGTATTGTTATTCTTGTGCAATCCAGTAAAGAAGAGAACAGCTGCTGTAGTTTTCACTAATATGGCTAATTCATTTGTCAACTCTCTCACTAATGATAATGGATGGATAAAGTTGTATTACATCATATTTAACCCTAATCTTAGGGAGGAAGTTTAAGTACTCGTTAGATGTGAAGGCACAAATTCTAATAACTGGAGTAGGATTCTTTCAAAATTCCATGACTTGTATATAAAATATATATTGGGTTTATAAGCTTTGGCCACACCCAAATGTGTATAAGCATTTTATAAGAATGATAAAGATAGTCTCATATTTAAATTTTTTTAATGTGGAGCTGGAGCTTAAAGGTAACGTATTTAGCAAGTTATAATTTTTTCATGCACATTGTACTAGTATAATGAGAGTGAAAACCCCTAAAAGTGACGTGATCGGTACAATGAAAGATGAAATCTTTGTTTTTAGTTACATCCTACTAACTTCAGTAACTCATTTATCATCATTAGGGCTATTACGTACAGCATTA